CTTCTATCAAACTTTTTGTAAGCTCAAAGGGCATTACTAAAAAGCTATTTTTTTGAGCTCGGAGAGCTCAAAATAATACACAAATTGTATTTATGAGCTCGAAGAGCTCTAAAACTTCATAAGTGCAATTTCAAGCGTTTAGGTATAGAATTGGCGGGAAGTTGCAGGGATGGCCTTCAGGGTCAACCGTTTTCCTAATTTTTTTAATTAAATTTTACGATAAGTTAATTAACGAATTCTATTGTCAATAAATAACCATCTTAAAAGGTCACTTGGATTATACTTAATGTTAACTTTTAAAATTTAAATGCTCAACAAAAAAAACAATTGACAATTGACGGAATTGCCTTTTTCATCTTCAAAATTTTGAATTCATGCAAACTAGTATTATGTGCTGATTTAACACATTAGAATGTGAAATTCTAGACACTAGAATGTAATATTCTACACAATGACGAAAAATTTTTTACTGTGCATGACCAACATTTTAAAAAATTGTGTGTACAGATAGGGTAAAACCCCATTACTGACACTTTCTTTGATTTTGGTACTTATTCAATTAATGAAATCATTAATTTCAATAATGAATGACTTATTAATGAATATATTATTTCTAGTCTTTAAGATCTTTAGATCAAAAAAATTTTTAATTTTTATTCCAAGTAGAACATTTTTTCATTGAAAGAAAAAGTGTCACTAATGGGGTCCTTTATCTTATAGCCTTAATTTTTTTACAGTATTGCAAATTTTTAATTTACTTTTTCGATAAATTAAATACTTAATTTTATTGACAGAAAATAACAATTTTAAATGGTCTTTTGAATTATATACTTGATATTATAATATCAAGTATATATACTTGATATATACTTGATATTATCTTTTAAAATTTTAATGTTCGAAAAAAAAAAACGATTGATAGTCGACCTTATTTATTTGTTATATCTTCAAAATTGTCTTTAATTTATCTATTATTTATTTTGTCTTTAGATACAGTGATTCAAAATTTATAAAAGCTTACCTGAACTTAAGCCTAACTATTTACGATACGTTATAAAAAATTTGATTTTAACTGGAAGAGTAGTTAATTAATTGTAATGAAATGAAAATTATAATTCAACAGATTAGTATATATCAGTAAAAAATAAAAACTAAAAAGAAGCTACATAAAAAAACCGATCCAATTTAGTATCGAAAAAATTGAATGAGAATGGTATAATGCAAAATGAGAATGAAAGTTTAAAATTAAAGAGAATTTGTATCGTAATTCATTGACAATGATTACTAAATAAACTAAAGAGAAAAAGAATATCATTAATAACAGCTGAACAGGTAGTTAATGCGTTCAGGTATAATTCTCGTCTACCGCAAATTCAGCTTTATTCTCCTCGTTTTATGATATTCGAAACGTAAAAAAGGAAACGCATGGAATCTGTGTCAGTAGGTCTCGATCTCTGTCAGCTGAATCCTGATGCCACTAACGCTTGAGTGGGAGAGGGGAATAGAACAAGTTGATGGAGAAGGAAAAAAAGAAACAAGAGGAACAAGTGAAGATATGCCAACCGACAAAAAAGAGTAAACATGTTTTAAGCCTCTCTCTTTATGCTTATACTCATATTAATGCTTGATAATGTTACAGTCTTATACTCGAAAATCTCAAAGTCGCACATTCTTTGATTGATTCCGCTGACTAGCAGAGAAATTTCATTGCCTCGAGGGATATTTCATCATCTTCATTTGTGTTTTTTTTTCTTTTTAAGGTTAAGTATATATCTAATTACTCGAAATGGCGACAACTTGATGTGAATTGTCACCACTGTTATAAAGAACGTGACCTATTAATTTGAAATTTTTTTTTTAGTTTCAACAGAGTTCTAATTTTTATTTATTTTAGTATAAAATTTGGAAAAATTATAAGTAAATATTTTTGATACGTAAAAATTTTGGTAATTTTTTAAAAGTGGGGTCAACCCTATTTTGGATCATAACTAGGTGAAAAATTAACACTTTCAAATTTTGTTTTTTATTCTGTTTGTTTTTACGTCGCATTTATGATAAAAAATGTCGTGAAAGAAAAAAATGAAGATTTCGATAGCTTTTTTGCCTTTAAAAGTTGGAAAAAATTTTGGCTCTCATGTTTTTGGATAAAATTTCTATTTTATCTTTTTTTGATGTTTTTGATCTATATATTTTTTGTAAAGTACATAAAAAAACGAGCAATTAAAAAAAAAAATTGTTCAATTTGATGAAAAAAAAAAAAAAAAAATTAACATGAACTAGCATAGGTTGACCCCACTTGTAAATAATTACCAAAATTTTTCACAAAAAATTTATCAGTAAAAAAAATAGGTTAAAAAAATTTTGAGTCGAAAAATCAATTTTTATTTATAATTAATTTTTTTTATTCTTGAACTTGTTATTTTTCTTTCTAAATAATTATTCATTTTTTTTATTATTGAGCGAATATTTTGTGAATAAAATTAGTTTAAATATTTTTCTTATATTTTTATTTTCTAAATCTTCTTAATCTTGAATTTTTTGTATTAAAAAATTAGTAATTTTGCCTAATAATTTTTGTCCAAAAATACTCGGGTATTAGAAACATTTAATTTTGTTAAAATTTGTAAAAATCAGTGAATGAGTAAATAATCAAACAAGTTAATCTTAACATAATATCCCCGATTTCTCACTGTCTGTCTAATAACGGACTGATATTTAAATATAGTATCACTATCTCTAAAATTATCATCAAATAAAAATACTTATTCCCTGTATCGATAATCCCAGACAGGAATCCATTTAAATCTCGCCGAGAACCCGGAGGAATCTAAATTTAGAGTTTCAGGTAATATAACAGTAAAGCTGTGGAGTATCAAATAAATATCGTTTAACTAAAAAAAAAAAAATTATATCTCAAAAATTTAATAGTTTTTGAGACACAATTACTTCTAATAAAAGAAAAAATTCAAAATTGTTATTATTATAAATTAAGACTTTAGCAATTTGTACGCCGAAAAAATTGAAACAAATTCAAGAAATTATTTTGCACATAAAAAAGAAAGTTTTACCTTTTATTCAAAAATTTTACCTTTGCAAAAATTTGCGACCAAATCTCCAAAAATCTGAAATAAACTCTGAAAAAAAAAATTAAATAAAAATTAAACAGAATGTCAAGGTCGTTGGGTTGATTTCCTGGAAGTTAGTGTACCACTTAATGCATTTAAAACTCAGTAAGTGAAGAAATGGTAAACACATATGTATGTATATAAAACGCAACAAGCAACAGGTCGGCGACCCACTTTCTTCGAGCGCGGCCCCGCATGGAAAAATATATATGCGAAAAATATATGCAAATATATATTTTCACATATATTTTTTTTGCGCTAAATATATGTCCGCATATATGTTCACATATATGTGCGCATATAAATGTCTAGAGATTCACAAAAAAAAATTTAACTTGAATCAAGAAAATAATTTTGAAAAATTTAACTTTCTTAATTTGAGTAAAAAAATTTTCAAACTTAGAAATTTTTTTTCGGTGTATGCTTACATATATGTCGACATATATGTCGACATATATGTCTACATATATGTAAGCATGTATTTCTGTATATATGTCAGCATCTATGTGAAAAATATATGTTGACATATTTTTTTTTGCGTAAATATATGCGGCATATATATTATATATGCGACATATATTTTTGACATATATATTTCTCCATGCGGGGGTGCCTCTTATATATATGTATATTGCCATCTCCTCCTCTTACCTTTTTATTTAATAAATATATTATATTTTTTTCCTCACTCTCGGCTCAATCGACCTTTCACAAATAAAGCTACGAGTCAAGTTCGAGGCTACACTACAACAATTATACATACTGTCGTTTTATTGCAGATTTATTATCAGTACAATCTTAAATAAATAAATAAATATAAATAAATAAATAAATAATTGAACATTTTTGGTAAATTCTAAATTATAAAAATTGTTATTTGTTAATGCTAGAGAGACTTTCTATTATTGTAAGTCTGAAGCCACCCGCGATAGGGTGACAAATTAAGGTCTTCAATTTGTCTTTTACGACGGTGAGGTTCTACCGGAGCGGGGGCGGCATAAACGATGTGGTTTTCACTTGGTTGGCTGCTGGCGGAAAACTTCTTTGCTGCTAAGACGATTGAGAGCATTAGTGCTAGTGAAGATGCCATTAGTGCTTTCATTGTCAGGAATCCCAAGGTTCCGAATCCGATTATTCCAAGCATTTTTCCTGAATAATTTTGTTGAATTTGATATTAAATAAAAATCTATTTATTGATTACAATAAATTAATAATTTATTAATAGTATAATTAATTAGTAATAAATAAATTAGTTAAGATTAGGAAGTTCGGGTTTTTTTATTACTTCAAATTTAATATTAAACTTATGAACAGTCATTTGAATATCTGTTAAAGTCCTGGCTCTATTAATAATAATTAGGTTCACAATAATCATTAATTGTCTGAATTTTAACTGTAAATTGAAAATCACCGTGTAATAATAGATTAAACTATCTATTTACTATTATTAAACTGTCTTATTGTTAGTAAAACTATTAGAAGTAACTACTTTCTAGTCGAACAATTAATGTATAAAATAAATAAAGACGAGCTATAATATAATATATTACATTAATATTATGAAGTTAAATTTATAATATCATAAAATTAAATTACCAGTCAATTGTACATAATAGTACAAAATACTATAATATTATTAAAAAGAACACTAATTGTCAAATTGATTAATTTTGTAAAAAATTTCGGAGACTCTACTGTCATTAAAATAAATTTAAACAACCAACAGTAACTTTAATTGTTAATTTAATCAATTTTTACTATAAATTGGAAATCTAATTTCAATTAAATAAATTTTCATTACATGTTATGGTTAATTATTATTGGTTATGTCTTCATTGTAAAATAATCGTTGATTCAGTAGGTAAAATTATAAATTCTACAAACCTTCGTTGTTAAACTACTCGCAATAGTTTAAAAAAAAGTTTTATATTATTTATTAAAATTTTTTGATGAAAATATTACGTACCCATTAGTAATGCCAATATGAAAATATTGTTGTTGCCTTTTTTACCACCCCCTAATCCATAATCATTTCTTCTACGACCTGCAAAAAACACAATACCACTCTTTTATTCGATAAAAGAAATAGAACATTCTTCTAAATAATTTTAGAAATATCGATTAAGTTTTATTCATTTTTTAAATTGATTATTAAAATTCTTTATATCTATTAACCGATGCTTTTTAGATTTTTAATGCCCATGACCTCTTTCATAAAAAATTAAATTTCTGCAAAGAACTTATTCTCAATTTTTTCATCACTTTAATCGTTTGACCGTAAAATGCGAAAAATAAGAATTGTTTCGTAGAAATTTAATTTTGGTTACATGTATATACCAAAATATATGAGTTGAGGCCAATTATCTGCAATTACTTTCAAAGAGTTTCTTAGTGTCTACTAATTATGCTTTGATCCATTGCAGCAGCATTTAATACCGCTAAGTTATAGAATTTTCTATGTATTTTTAATGAAAGAACTTTGAAATTAAAAAAAGTAATTGAAGTTAAAATCAAAGACCCAAATTTTCAGGGATTTTTTTTATTATATAAAACAATATTCTGCTGAAGAAGCAAACAAAATAACCATTCACAACGAATCACCCTGATAGACATATATATCCTTATGGGGCCTGATATGATCATATATGAGCTAATATGCCTATATATAGTCTGATACAGCTAATTTTCATATTTAGCCATACATGATAACATATCAGGCCATATCAAAAATTATAAATGGACATATCATATTTTTTGAGGGGTCGATAAATGGACTTATATGGCCAGATAAGAAAATTTTTTCACGAGAAATAAATAATAACAAAAGAGACATCTTCATACATACCAAAGATACTTCTAAAAAATACCAAAATTTTATGACATTCAAATTTCACCCACAAACATTCATTGTATTTTTATTATAACTTTTTACTTATTATTATAAACTTTGTAATTCCCCCATTATTATTACCATCATTACTAATTTAAGACATCTCTCTTGTATGTATGTATATTCACTTCAATCACTGTATTAAGCCGTTTGGCGTTAACTTACTAAGTAAATAAATAAATAAATGAAAACATAATAATTACTCTTACATGTAACCAGACAAAAACTTAATTATCAAAAATTGGCCCAAAAGCAATATTCCTAAAAAAGTTTGGAAAATCCAAAAATTCACGCCTCAAAACGCTCATTCATTTTTTAAGAAAGAAATTAATTGTGTAATTGATTAAAAAAAAAAAAAATATAATTAAATAATTTCTTACAGAGTATTTTTTATTTTTTTTTTTAAATATCGGCGCCCTTTTTTCTTGTCATATGCGCACGTAGTCTAAAAAACATCTAGCTTCATCAAGTGGCGCCATAGTTTTCACGTGACAAATAAGAAAAGTTCGTTTGGCTTTGTACGATTGTAGTGAATTTTAATAAAAATTCAATTTAAAAAAAAATACGTAAACTAGGCCACTGATATAAAATACGGACCTAGTTCATCGAATTCTTAAACTAATAAAAAAGGTAAAATTTTTTTCAAAACGTTTTTTTTTTTTCAAAATAGAAACATGAAATGATTTTAGAAAGTAAAAGATGGTTTAATTTAAGTGTTTTTTCGGTGTACATCTATTTATATCATTGTATAAGTGTAATATGGTTGTGATAGAGGCATTTAAAGATCACAAAATTGCTTGACCTTGACGAGTCGAGTATAAAGCACAACCTCACGCGCTTCGCGCTTTGAGGTGTGCAATATTTGAATACTCACAACTTTCTTATCAAAACTCAAAAATACCAATGCCCTAAGCTTCGTTAGAACTTAAGTAAAAATTACAGCGTCTTCAAGCTAGCAGTAGCAAAATCCATTTTAGACGGATAATATTATCGATTGCTTGGAATCTAAACAAGCAACAAAATTCTAAATACAGCAACTAAATAGCAACAAATTTAGCACCACAAATAAATTTTGTTACTTGAATAATGAGTCAATGCATGATAGATGAGTCCATGCTAGCTTGATAGACCTAAAAATTACCTTGTTCATCACTAGTTAAGCTCTCCAAATCAAAGGGCATCAAACTGCTCAACTTAATCCTCAACTCTTTTCCCTCAAACAGCCCCAAGACCGTACTTTTGAGGGTCCTTCCTCTTCTATCCATCGAATGCATATCATCAACGCTGTTATCAACAATGCTGATACCATCGGTGATTTGAATTCGCTTCGTAGAGGCAGCACGTTCCAACAACTCCTGAATAACTCTTTTCACAATTCTCACTCCGTGGCAAGAAAGTGATACATTTCTTGGGTCCTCTTTGGCGCACAACATCGGCAGGCCCTTCCAAGGGTCCCGATAGTCCCTCAAACAGGCCCCATATGTCGCTACCAACAACAATATCAACCCACAGTAAATGAACTTCATTTTAATTAAACAAAAAAAACTTGAACTACTTGAACAAAAAAATTAAATTTGGCACTTATTATAATTAGTATCAGGGCCACCTTAGATTCGAATCTTACCAGCAACCCAAAGATGACTAACTCTATTGTAAAGCATCATTGGATTTATATAGATTGCTCCTCGGCAAGTACTTATTTTTTTATTGAAGATTTTAGTACTACAAGACTGACGTTAAACAATTACCGTAAACAAAAACAAATTCTTTCTGGATCTCTGCACACCAGATTCACAGTTTTTCGTATTTACTTTTTTTAAAAGTAAGATAAAAGTTAAATTAAACTTCCGTTTCGCTTGTCCAATTTTCTTCTCCTTCTTTTACTCTTGACTTGCTCCTTATGATTTTTATGTTTACTCTTAAGTTTGTTCATATATTTAGACTACTTTTAGATATATAAATAAATGAATAACAAAACCGGGTGTTTTAGAGCGTTACAAAAGGTGTATTTAGCATGAGCGTTAAATTTATAATTTATAATAAATAATAAGTAATAAATATAAAATTTTATTCATTTAATGTTTCCAGGAATTCAAAGTACCATCAGTCGCTCAGTTTTTATGGGACTGAATTGTTAGATTTAATAGCTAAATAATTTCAGTCGATATCATGCCAAGAACTTAACGGCTGGTTTTTATTCAAACACTCATGAGTTTAGTGTAACACATTTTATTTATTTAGATTTTATTTGTGTTTTAATTTTTTTTTTTTTGCATATTATTGTGCTACAGCTCAGCTGAGAGTAATGATAATGAGTAAAACTGAAAATTGGTGGGAAGAAAATACGAGCGAGGAGATAAGAGTGAACAAGCTGAGATAAAGAGAGAAAAAGATCGATTAATGAATCTAGTTCATCTCCGCATGCCTTTCTCTTCTGTTCCACTTCTCTATACGTCACTACCATACATATACACATTTATACATATACCTATATGTAGATGTACTACGCTTAACTTAACCAAGCATACTGTTCCTTGCGATTGTTTTATTATTATTATTACTGATATTGTTGTTATTTTCATTTATACTGGGAGGCAATCGTCATTGTGATTCTGATTATGGCTGAGAAGATGGGAACAAGTTTGTATAATATATATACGTCCGTTAATATATATAAGTAAAACGCACTCAGATGCCGTGAGAGTATAACTAGAGCTGCAATTCGAAACCGCTGGCTCAATTGTTTATAACTTATCGGCGGCTTTGCACGCGTCGATATGTTTTTATGTTGCTAGGATTTTTTATTTTCCTTTCGGTATCAATTTGTGGTCTGTACCTTGTACACTGATAAAAGAATCTGTTAGTATTTAATGAGCTTTTATAATTGTTGATAAATTATTTTTTTACATTAGATGATTTAATAAATATCTATCAGCAGTTTTTAAAATTTTTGATTCATAAGATTTATTAACTGTTGATAAATATTTATTCAAATTAATGAATATTTGTTCTGTTAATAAATATTTGTTTAGATTCTTGAATAAAAAGTGAGTATCATAATTCTAATTCGATACTTTTTACAATCCCATAACGAAGATTTTAAATAATGCATTGAAAAGAGAATTGGATAAGCACTCAAATTGAAATTTTTTTTTATTTACTAACTCTAAACATTCGGATTAAAAAAAAAATAATTTTATTTATAATTCCAATATTGGGGTCATAACATTATTTTTTAATTTTTAATCCAAATATTTGAAATAAAAATTGAAAATTTGTAACTTAAAAATATTTCAACTCTCGTTGTAAATTCAGTTGATAGTAAAATTTCGTTAGATTGATAGTTTTTGAAAAAAAAAAAAATTGATAGTAAAAGAATAGTTATAAAAAATACATTGTTTTTTTTATGTAGAGAAAATAATTATTTGGTATCGTATTTTTATTGTAAAACGTTATACGGCATAATTTGATTATGAAAAATTATCTCTACATCAAATTGACTCTTGATTCAAAATCAAAAAATATTAAGTATAATTTAATAATTTCAGTAACTAAGCTAAGCCTAGAGGCCTTTTAATAAAAACCTATAGATAAACCTCGCTAAACCTAGAGATAGTTTTTTTATTTACAAAAATATCATAAACATGCGCCTTATTAGACGCTCGTAATATCTGTAAGCTTAACGATCACACAAGGGTTCAAAAAACTTCATTTTCAAGTCCGTAAAGTTCAGTAATTACATTAAATTTATTATATTAATAATAACGGTCTAAAATATGGTTTAATGACAAAAACTACCATTGTAATAGAATCGAAATAATCTCAAAATTTAGAAAACTTCAAAAACTGTATTTAGAACAAAATTTAGCTATCATTTACAATTTATCATAATGTTAACTATGAGTTCAAATACATTGCGAACGAACAAATTTAGTGAAAAATCATAAGAGATCTTTTTTGATGAACGTTAAATTTCCTAGAAAAACATGCCCTGGTCTTACCAGTATGACAATTAGTAGATGAGTTCTAAAACTCAAAAATAAGAAAATAAAATTTTCTAGTTAATCAAATGAAAAATTAAAATTTCGTTGTTTTCGATAAATTGAAGAAAAAAAAAGAATTTAATTTTTTTTGAAACAGTCTAATGAATAGATCTATGTATGATACGTATAATAAGTAATGAAATAATAATAAAATGATAAATAAAAATGCGGTTAAAAGGATATTGCTTGTCGGTGGGCACTATCAGATGCTTATGAATCATCAACAGTAATCCCGTTATACCGCGCCCGAATTGAATGTGGTGCCAAGTGATCGAAACTCGCTGCCCGCTGCAAGCTGTATATAGTATCTCAGAGATACTCTTGACCTCGTCTTCCGAGAGTGATCAAGGATAAAAGAGTGCTCACCGAAGGTATTCAAATAAATAACTTAAAAAATTAACCAAGAAATAATGATAATAACAATGATGATGATCGTGGTAAGGAAAGAAAAAATAATGTATGCTGTGTGCTGGAGCACAAGGTGCGTAAAAATTCATTCAAATGAGTCGGCCTCGATTCATCCCGCTTTCTCCAGATACGCTACAACCTTTTCGGATATATTTTATTTTTATTAATTATTATTATACATTTATGAGAGACAATATCTTCTTTTTCCCCGTTTTTTGTCGACTTTCGATTTCTTAAGATTCATTGTTTTATCTTCTTGTTATTGTTTATCTATTTTTTGAGTTATTTCTTGTCAAATTAAAAATTTTTCAACCCAGACTTTGTTGAAAATTTTTAAAAATAAAAAAAAATTTTTCACTTTTTTATTAATTTTTTTTTTTTTAATTAACTGCAACTTTTTCGAAAATTGTTTTACGACGAAATTTTTAAAGAAAACTTTTATTTTTACCTGTAGTTTTCAGAAAAAAAATAATACTCAGACGCTTAGTTGTATTTACATTTTTAATTTTTTTTGAGAAAAATCGATAATTTTTCGAATTTTTTATTTTTTTTTCTTACTTTTTCTTAAAACATTTTAGTTAATTTTGCGGGCAATTTTGTGCAATGGAGTCTTTTCTTACTGAAAAAAAAAAATTAAATTTTTGTTGAATTTAAGACTCTATTTTATAAAATAAAATTGGAACAACAACCTTTTTTTACTAATAAATTCTTTAGGCTTTCATTTATAAAATTTCTTCAATTATAAATTGCAAAGTTATTAATTCCAGAGAAATAATCAGAGCGTTTTCAAAATTTTGAATGTTAAATATTGATCTCATTAAAATTCTATCACTGATCCGAATTATGAAAAATCAGAGCAGAACGTCGCCCCAAAAAAATTATAAACTTTTTTTTTAATAATTAATACCTAATGATTAGCCTACTAATTTTGATGAATAAATTAAAATTTAACTTAATAAATAAACAATACTTTTATTAAAAACAATAAATACATATTTATCAAACATATAACACAATAATAAGTTATTATACAAAAAGAGAAGCCTTAAATAAAGACGCAATGAGATGAACGATGACAAAAGATCAACAATTCAATGAGTTATGACGAGACTTACATTACGAATAGTCGCGAGTTTAAAAATAATTATTAATTATCAATAATAACTAATAATTACAACGTCCGTATCGATCAATGTATTAGTTAGTTACCGTCTTCTGTACAAGTATAAGTAAATTATATTATACTAATAAAATGAATAAATTCAATTAAAATTTCATATTTACAACTACCGTCACTAGTCACTACAGTATCAGTGCGTGGAAAATGGCGTCAGTGGTCCGAGTATGGGGTTCGATAGAATATACACACGTCGTAAGTCATGAATAAACCACTAATAATCGAATTTAAGTAAAAAACCGGGCAATGTCAGGGGGTAAATAAATATTATAATTAAAATAAATAAATATTAGGTAATGTTGATGGATGATAAACCGATAGCGGATAAGTTCCTGAACTCTAATTTACCGATTGCTGGGCAGCAGCAGGAATGTGAGCAGAGTAGGCCAATTCCTGCGCTGACCTCTGCTCTGTGGGTAAGACTTGCCCGTGGAAGTTTCTCGCCCAACCAGAAGAGTAACTGTCATGGCCGCCATGGCCTTCGCTGAAGGAGTGACTGGCGGAGTGATGTGGATGCGCCACAACCTCGTAAGTAACGTGTTTCTGGTGTGAAAAGAGCTTCTTCAAACCGATGATACTCGCTAAAAGAAGCGCGATCTTCGAAAGGAGCAGAGCTTTGCCCACTAACAAAGCTAACCCTTTGAAGGCTAGGGCCCCGATCAGCCCAATTTTGAGAACTGCTGCTGCTAGAAGAGGTCCCATGTTGTTGCCCTTTTTCCCGCGGCCTGAATGAGTCAAAAAAAGGAAGGTAGGCATAAAAAATGTCAAAAATTAGCACAGAAGATCAGAAATTTAAGGACTTACCATCAATCACAGAGTTGTCGGCTCTTTCTAAAGACAGTCCCAGGTTGAAAGATCCGGTCTCGTCTTCAGAGGCAGAAACTACGACATCGTCCTCAGGTAACACTCGCCATTTGATGCTCCGGGACTTGATGAACGCGTAGATTTTTCCAGTTACGAGGTCCATGAATTCGGAATCGTCATCACTGCTGCGTCCTGCTTCGTAGGTGATGACTTCTTCAGTTGCTTGGCTAGTTTTTCGGATTTCGATATCGTCTGTCAGCTCGATGGAGGCTTTTTTGAGCAACTTGTTCATGTAAGTGACCAGCTTTAGCATTACACAACTGCTTATGTCATTTTGCGAGCACTTGTTATTCAATTTACGCATCAACTCTTCCTCGTACTTGGCACGCTCGGTCAAGGTCACAGTCTGCTGCTGCTGGTGGTGCTCAATTACTCCGATTTTCTCGATTTTATCCATCGGATTACCGAATGTTGCGCTGATTAGGCACGTTACTAACAGTACTATTGCTCCTTTCATTTTATCTGTGTGATAAATGGCTGTTATTATTGTTATTATTATTACTATTAATAATTATGTTAATATTCACGGTAACATTGATGATCACAAGTTAAATTAGGGAAGGATAGAGGACAGGTTGACTGACACTGATGGAAAAAAGCTCACCTCTATTATCACGAAGCCAAAAAAAAAGTCACTCGCGAAAATGATTATCGCGAACCTTGCTACGCCGAAAAAATAAGCAGATAATATATCAGTGAGACTATAATGACGGATATGCAGTTCTTTAATCGATGCGTGCAAGGCTTCTGGTCCTGCGTCTCGCCCCGATCACTTTATATACGTAGATCTCGCATAGTAGTTCTGAGTCTGGTGCCCACCATTAGAGCATACTCCGGAGGTGGAGGGATCCTGAATCGATGGACAGGCTGCATTCGTATGGATGGAGAACATAGAGACCATTGAGGATAGTTGCTGCAAGTGAGAATCGAGACAAGGACAGAAGACAAAAAGGAGGAAATTATATGAGGAGAAGTTGTATTATGAGTATTATATATGGGAAATAGACATCAAGGTGGTTAATGTACTCTTATACACTACTAGGTTAGTTGTGCGGGAGGTAAAGGTGTTTCCTCTCTGTCTTGATCAACGGGTTCTCAAGCGATGTAAACAAAAACAAGAGCACATTCGTTCACATGGTTTTTTAGATTCTTTTATATGCGACTTTTATTGTCACCTTCTTCATTATCGTAAATAAAATGATAACATTGATATTCATTATGATGATATTGATTATTATAATTATAGTAATATTTATGATATTGATCATCATAGGGATTTTTTGATGATATTGTCAATAACAATAATGATAATGATAATGATTATATTACCCATTGTAATGATATTGACAATGATAATGATATTCATCATGATGGTAATATTCACGATAATGATGATATTGAAAATGACGAAAGTGATATTGATAATGATATATAAAACAAGTGATAAATTAACCAAACAAGAGCAACTTTTGTTCCAAAGATCTTGAAAGCACCGGAAAGTTTAATAGATAGCATACTTTTTTGAATCAAAATGTTGATAATTTACTTAAGAATATTGAAGATGATTATCTTTACTTACTGGCAATTCATGCACATAAAAAAGAGGGAATGTGAAGATAAAAATGAAGTTGAAGGTATAAATTCCGGCAATAAATCAATCTTAAGTAAAGTGTTTTTTCCGTTCTATCACGATCTCTAATTTTTTAGCTTGCTCCGGCAAAACTCGTATTAAATGCGAATGCAAGAGGAAAGGAAGCAAGTGGAATTTAACGCGGCACGATTAATGACGAGTTTCATATAAGGTTGATACAACACAAACTGGAAAAATATGATGCCGTGCGTGCTCTAGATCCGTGACACCGTTCTCGCCGTCGTGGGGCTGTTCCGCAGCATCGCCCCATTATTTATGATTTTAGTGTTATTAAATTTCATATATGTACATTAGATATACGTATACATATATTTATGTTCATACCTTTATTATTTCATTACAATGTTACCCAAGAAAAAGATTATTGTTGCGATTATTTACAGCTATACTTATAGTCATTGTACTATCGCTACGTGGGAATACTATTACGATAACTTAAGTATTTATTCATTTAAATATTCATCTGATAACCGATCATCATTATTATTAAGTGCAATTACCGTACCAATCAATGAACGATATTTATTGAGTGAATCATACTTTCTTGAATCGAATCGATTGGTGAAAATATAATGAATGACTGTTCACTATTTGGTCGTTAAGTGGAAAGTAAGTTATCGCTATTTAGATTTAAGGAAGCATATAACTATCCATTGAACTTTCCGATGTTTTCAAGATCCGTGTGATCAAAGCTACCTTTTTTTCTATTGTAGAATATCATTATGATGATCAATATTATTATAAATGTTGTTATCAACATAATTATCATAAATAATATTGATAATTTTCTGTAAGTTATTTTATAGTAACATAACACAATTATTGATTCACGGTTTGTTCGTTACCCTTAAACATTTATTATATGGAAATTTTGAAATTCAGTAGATGAAATTATGCCGATAATAAATTATACTATATTTTTTATATATCTTGTTCTTGTACTGATTTTTTTCTATTTGTGATGAAAATATAAAAACTGAAAATTGACCATACTTTTAACTTTAACCTCGAACATCTTTTATATCAGTAAGTTCAGCGAAAAATAATAAGATACTTTTTCGCAGAACGATCAATTTTCTATATCAAAATTTAATTCTTACTAATGTAAGAACGTATATGAACCACTCAAAAAATTACAAAAAACAAACTGAATTTTTAGCATGTTATTTCCCTTTCCCGCATGGAAAAATATATATGCGAAAAATATATGCAAATATATATTTTCACATGTATTTTTTTTGCGTTAAATATATGTTCACATATATGCGCGCATATAAATGCACAGAAAAAAATTTAACTTGAATCAAGTAAAAAATTTTGAAAAATTTAACTTTCTTGATTTGAGTAAAAAAATTCTCAAACTAAGAAATTTTTTTTTCAGTATATGCTTACATATATGTCTACATATATTTTAGCATATATCTCTGCATATATGTCAGCAACTATGTAAAAAATATATGTTGACATATTTTTTTTTTTGCGTAAATATATGCGACAAATATTTTTGACATATATATTTTTCCATGCGGGTTAAAACTTTGGATACCATGGTGGCCAGGTTGATATTAAAATAACTTAGTAACTTGGCAAGAATTTCGCTGTTTTTATTTGGTACCGATTTTCTACCACTGTAAGAAAAATTTCCAAATGATATAAATAAGGACCACCCTTACAGGTTTAATTCTCTTAACCAAAAATTAAAAATAAATTTTAATGAATAAAAAATAATGTGATCAATTTGGAGTCTTAAATTTCAAAGTTAATAACTTCAAAATTTATTACTTTTTTTTCTTCAGTCAGAACTAGATGTTTTTCAAATTAGATGAGAAATTTTTATCGAAAAAATAATGATTTTGCCGGAAATGAAAGAAAATCTGAAAATTTGTTGTATTTTACTTTAACCTCGAAAAACTTTTGGAAAAGTCAATTTATCGAAAAATCGTGAGAAAACTTTTTTGCAGAGCATTTTATTTTTTTAACTTTCCGCTAAGAAAATCGAAGATTTTCAAAAATCAAGAAGTTATTGGTTTTACCCCGTTTTGCAAAAATCGAGTTTTCATCAGATCTCGACGTTTCAAGGTCACAGGAAGCTTCCCTGACTAACCCCGCGATGTTGTCACTATGTCTATATGTATGCATGGATGTATGCATGTATGTGTGGGTGAAAGTATGTGACCCGCTTATAACTTTTGAACGACTAAACCGATCGGAACCTACCAAACGGCGTTCCAAAGAGTTATCTCAAACTTATATTTTTTGTGAGTTTGAATCGATTCTGACTGATAGATTTTGAGAAATCTCAAAAAAACTTAGAACAAAGATTTTTTTGAATGTGATTTTTTGGAATAACTTTTAAACGGCTTTATCGATCAACTTCAAAAACTAATCAGCTCTTAACCTTGAAAAACCACGTTGATCGCCGCTAATCCCATCAAAATCGGTTGATTCGTTCGAGAGATATCGTGAACGAAAGAAAACCGAAAAAAGTGTTTTTCGGAATTTCTCCAAATCTCCTAGTTTAATCAATTCAAACTTGGAGATTCTTTATGAGGCTGAAAAAACTGCGTTGAATCCTGCCAACCGCATGAAAATCGGTTCATTCATTCAAAAGTTATTGCGGTTTGAAAATTCAAAAAATAGTGTTTTATCAAACTTCTATTAGACTTTTGAGCTCGGAGAGCTCAAAAGTATAGAAAAGCTATCTCTTCGAGCTTGGAGAGCTAAAAATAACACATAAATTGTATTTTTGAGCTCGAAGAGCTCAAAAACGTCGTAAGTGCAATTTTAAGCGCCTAGGTATGGAATTAGCGGGAAGTTACAGGGATGACCTTCAGGATCAACCGTTTTCCTAATTTGTTAAATACAATTCTGATGCTAGCTGGTAAGTTGCTTGTCAGACAAGATATGAAGTTCTAAAAATATTTTTTTTATGTTAAAAAAAATGAAAAGTTTCAATTCGCGGTCTCTAAATGTCAATATTAAGGACTCAAATTTTGACAGGGTCTTTATTTTGGCATTCTATGACGAAATTTCAAGATTTTTGAAAAAAAAATTTGTTGATTTTTTTTAAGTAGACCATGCAATATTTAAATTTTCCTTAAAATCTACTAAAAATGATTGAATTTAATTTTTTCCTCTCAAGTTAATGGGGCGAAAAATTCACCTAAAAACCGCAAAACCACAGTAATTTATCAGTATAATCCCGCAACTAGACATATGGAATTCATCATTGCTAAATAATAACGCAAAAGTACTAAAATATTAACAACATTCATTAACATTAAGTTGTTAATCGAAATGAAAACCGATAGAATTTAAAAGCAATACATAACAAGACATCATAGCAGAAAAGTAAAAATTAATAATCTACATAAATTGATAATAACAATAGTAATAAATAATAAACAATAAACTACACCTATGAGAAGTGACCTCGTCTGGACACCGAGACACGTCGAACGAGTACTCTCACCGTTTGCTTAAAAGGGAAGAAAGGAAGTGAGGGAGAACATAGAGTTTGCGGTATTAGTATTAATCCGGAGCAGCTTTCCACGGTATTGGTGACGGAAGGTCAAGAGCTGTTAGATATCATCCGTTTATATATTTCTAATGTCTATAAATATCTGTACCTATAACGTAAGTGCGTCTGCATTTATTCATATCCTGATATTCTGGGGAACATTTATGCGTTCTTATACACATCACGAAACCACACACCTGTAACAAATATATGAAATGTTAATTAACTCATCGTTTAAAACGTACTTATAATATATTATATTGAAATAAGATGGGCAAAGGAGGCC